GTTGTTAACAAGGCGAATTAGTATAGGAAATGTCAAATTAACACAGAAATTTTTGGAAGTACTGCTTCTGTGTGACATATTAAAAACTTTTTTATTTTGGCTAAATTTATCAATCGTGATGGGAGAAGTGTTGATATCTACCCTAGCTAAATTCAATATTTTTTCAAATATAACATTCGTATAAACTCACAAATGTTAACACATAAATTGACCTATATTAAATGGTATAAAGTGGTTAATTAGTCCTCAACTCGATTTTACTTTAGCATTAATAATAACACTGAAACTTGCAATGTCGAGTTGTGGGAAAATAGTTTTTATTCAATCAATAGAGACTGTATAATCCCAATACATAATATTTTAGGTCAAATTATTCCTGTGAGATATAGAATATCAAATCAGTCTAATGCTAGAGAATACTTAGCAATTATTCCACTAAATAGGAAATTTCATTTGGGTTGAAGTTCGAACAATTATTATTCTATTTGAAAATTAATAATAAAATTTAAATATTTCGCTATGATAAATTTTGACTATTCTAATAATTTACTTTTACAGTCAACTCTTGATATAGCGAACTCTTGATATAACGAATTTTTTGAACAAATCTAATAAAAATACTCTTGTTATAGTGAATTGGCCAATCAAATCTCTTAAAATCTTCACTATAGCCTTATAGCGAAGTTGAGGTCTAGACATATAGTTCGTTATAACAAGAGTTGACTGTATTTATTACACAGATCATATGGTTGTTATTCATCTATTATTCAGTAAAGTCAAATACAAGCCTAAATATAGGTCATTTACTAATAGTATCTGAATGCTCTTGATTTTAGTCTAATATAGGCTGAATTTTAATATGGCTGAATTTTTACTTTTTGACTGGTGAATTTTTTTTGATAGACCAAAATCTGCTAATTTAATCATTTTCTGATGTACAAGAATATTGTCTGCATGCTATAATTTTGTTAATGATCAAGTATTTAATTATTTAAGTTAATATAATAAATAAAAAATTGATTTACAAAAAAAAGTTCAGTCACCAAATCGCAATGAACAATATCACAATCGTGTATGTATTCTACAGCACTTGCCAATTGTAAAGCTAGTTGATATTTGTCATTCCACTTAAGTTCATTAAAATGATTATTTAAATAAGCATTTAATGTTCCATCATCAGCATATTCCAGAACTAAAGAATAATACTTATTAATTAGATGGTTCGAGTTTGCTATTCCATAAAAAAAAAAAAAAATAAAAAATAAAGAAATTTAATTAATATATTTGTCAAAAATTTGAATTATGTCCCTAACATATGCCAGTTCTTTCCCTTGTGATACCACAAAACCGAATAATATTTGGATGAGAATCAACTCTTTTATGTAATTTTATCTATAATTTGATATAAATTAATTTCAAATCTTATTAACAAACTTTAAATTATTACAATTATTTACCTCATTTACAACTTCTTTCAAAGTTATTGTATTGTTATTAAAAGATTTCAAAGCAAAATAACGGTCTGGATTTTTCCAATTCGCACGCATAACGTTTCCAAATGAGCCATTTCCGATTAGTTGTTTATTGTCGAAGTCCAGATATTCATAATGGATTGATTTTTCTAACCATTCGATATAAATATTTGATATATCAGGGTTATCTGACATTTCTGACATTTAATTTAATTTATGACCGTTTTTAGGTAAACATTTCTCTTTTAAGTAAAAATTTCGGAGTTCAGAATTCCAATGCATAGTAATCCACGTGATTTGTAAATCCCCGATTTGCCATAAAATGCATGCTGCGCCAATTGGTCGACGAAATTCAATCCAAATTTGTTTATTTCGTTTGACTTTCAAATTTTATTTTATTTTACAGTATATAAAGTTTTTTGAAATGAACGAAAACAAATTTGCGGCGACCCAAAAATGAATTTTCATCTTTTTTTAAAGTTTAAATTTAGTTAATATAAAGGTTTGGTTACCCATACATTTCGTATTTCACAAGCAATTTTTATTGTTTTTTTTTCGTGGCAAAACTATTCAGAAGAAAAAAGTGGTAATAACATTCTTTAATAGAAAAAGTTGTGAAAAAAATTATGAAGTTTTATGATCTAAAATTTCTTAAATTGAGAAATTCGTTAATACGAAAATTTTAATACATTATATTTAGAAATTATATTTAAAAGAATTTTTTTTTTTTAAAAGAAGAGTTATATTTCTTTGAGACTTTTAATTTTTTCTTTGAATTAATCATTTAATTACATTTACTATATAAACCTTCAACTTGCGGAATAATTGGAAAAAAAAATATTTTATTTAGATTCGCAAACATGAATAAATTTTATATCATAAAAATTTAAACAAATTTATTTTTTTAAAAAAAAGAAAGGAACATTCATGAAAAAGAAAAAATATTATCAGGGCTGAAACCAACAATACACGACCTTTATCACATTTGCTATTCATAATACTAATGATAATATCAAAGCTAACTCTGCTTGGCCTCAGAATTGAAAATTCTGAAGTAAATCTCGTTCCAACTGGAATTGTACATTTACTTCTAATACAAATATACTTTGTAATCACAACAATTACAATTGGAACCATCAGAAAAAAAAATATATGATAACGAATTTAGGATATCATTATTTAAACTCTGGTAACAATCAATCTATCAATTTCTTCATTAGTTGTAACATAGCATCGAGTATCAGATGATCAGGACAGCTGCAGCGAAAAGCTGAAATTATCTTCGGACATGGAATCATTGCTGAGCATAACGTTGATCAATTGAGATGCAAAGGTGTTTTCTATGAAGTTGGCAGATTGAACTTGTAATTACTCTAAACAGAAAAGTCTGTTACAGCATTTTGTTTCTTGAGGAGTAGGCTTTATCTCCCTAACACACGATGCATTGGAGCAAAAGTATCAAACTTGATTTTCGGTATGCTTCTTGATAGATATCGTTGTGAAACCGAAGTGTGGTATATTTCTTGATAGATTAGAGGAGCAGTCATCTGACCCATAAATATATTACCGATTTTGGGTCATATGCTATTTTTATCACAAAAAAATTTCAGTCTTTTTTTCATTTACATAAAACGCGTTAAAATAGTTTTTTTATTACAAAGCAAACAAATGAGTTTCAAAAGTATACAATTTTACATAAAAAAAATTTCTAAATATGATAATAGTAAAATATAATATTATCTTGTGAAATAGCGAAACATATTGTATTTTGACGCGGTTTTCTGCAAAAATATAAAAAAAATAAATATAATTATATAATAAACAAGTAGCTATAAAAATTTAAAAAATAAAAAGTAATGTATGAAATTTCGCGTCTTTTTGATGAAAAAGACCGAAAAAATTTTTTTTTAAAAAATTGTAAAAGTATCCATTCATGTGATTAAAAATAGAACATGGTAATATTTATTTTTAGTAATGAAAACTCTATCAAGAAATATACCACACTTCGGTTTCACAAAATCTATCAAGATTGATACTTTTGCTGCATTGAAGATATTCATCTTTAACGCTTCTCGGAAATAAAAATGCTGGTTGTTGCACCACTAGACCTTTTGACTTATCCTCATTCCAAATGTGCCAACGAATAAATAATTGGATAAACACGGGCTAACCATTATTAACACTGTATTTATCGTATTAGCTACCATTTCTAACATTTGATATTCGCCGAGAAAATAGTGATCGTCAACAAACGATTTATTTTAATCACATGCCCTCAAATTTTGGCGCAGTATTATATCGTTATTTTTTTTTTTTTACCTCATTACTATTATCCAGTCTTCTTCATTATATATTTATAATCTATATTTGTTCATAAACTTTGAGATAAGAAGTTTACAAGGAACAGGTAATTATATTTATCACGATCTCGAATTATCTGCTAAATTTGGATGTAGTTAGCCTTCACGAATTAATTTCTAAAAGGTTGGTATTTTTAGTTGCGTGTCCATATGTTATATGTAATATGAGCTTATTTTTAAATAAATTTATATTTAACAATTCCAGATAGTGATGATTAATTTATTTTGGTGGTTAGTATTTATTTATGCAGGGTGTGTTTCGAATAGGGGTATTTTTAAATCAACAATCAAGTATTTTTAAAATACCACGGAAATTTAAAATACTGTTTACACAATTTAATTACTTCTGAAGTTACATATTTTTAGTGATTACGTAAAAATATATAGGAGGTAAATTTAAAAATAACATAACAACCTTTCCGCCATGTTATAAATTGAATCTCGTGTAACAATGATCTCGATGGATCTACAGATTCAAAAGCAGATTACGGTGTTACTATTTACGACTGTCTCAATTGTTCTAAATATATTCTTACGTAAATTTCAACATATTTTTTTAAAAATGGATCCAGATACGATGTATTTATTGTATGCTGTCAAATGTCTCCAGTCTTTTGCCGTTAATCTTATCCTATTAATATTTTGGTTTTGAATCCCTGAATTTCTATTTTCTCTTCTCACAATTATGCAAGTCGTTCGGACAATAAAGAAAAGAATTACCGGATTTTGAATAGACCGATATTTTATAAAATTATATCGGGTTTATATGGACAATGTGCTATAATATGCGAGATATATCTTCCAAAGGTTTATTATTGATCGCAACCATTGATTGAGGTTATTGTTGGATTCTGGTCCAAAACCGATTTGGTTCTCTCATTGAAATTTTAAATGATCAGATCAAAATCTAAAAGCAAATTTGCGTGATTATATTAATAAAGTAAATTCCCTTTTTTTACTGTTAAAAATAGAAACAAAAGAAATTTGGTGCGAAGAAAAAGGTATATAAACGATTAATTTTTACCTTCAAGCTCTTCACTTCTTTCAAAGAAAAAAAAAAAAAAGTGATCTTCTTGAAGAAATAATTTTCCTTTTTTATAAAAAATTCTTTTCGTACTAGCACTTTAATCCTCCTTTTTTTTTTGATTACTTTGAAGAAATCAACAAAATGAAATTTTCAGCCACCATTCTCTTGATCGTTGCTCTTTTGGCTCCAATTGTATTCTCTTTTTCAACCGAATACAAAAAAGAATACGAAAATGATTTTCACAAAATTTGTAAAAATATTGAATTTAAGAAACCCGTCGATGGCATCATTTATAAGATCAATAGCACTCAAGTTGCGGATGTTGTTCTCCCCAAAGAGTGTATTAAAAAATTCGGTACATTAAAATTTTATTTTTTTATTTATTTTCTTCAAATTTTTTTTTTTTTTATAAAAAATTTATTAAATCGCTATTCTTTTACCGAAATTTTTTTTTTAAAATATCTAGGTCATTATTTGAAGATCACTGTCGAAGTTTTCAGTATTGCCGCCAACAAAGTTGTTGATACTATCGTTGAAAAGGAATACGTACGTTTTTTTCGCTATTTCGAAGATATTTTTATATAAAAAATATATATTTTTTTAAAATTCCATTAATTCTATATATTGTAGATCTATAATCGTCCTACCGTCTTTCTTTACTTGATCGATAAAGTATGGGCCAATGATCGTGCCAAATACTTTCTTATAGCCACCGTTTTTCATAAAAATAATCACGTCCAAGGTAAATCCGGAACTTTCATCACTGTGGATGACAAGGAAAAAAAGTATCATTATTAAATTGATTAGTTAGTTGGTCGTATCCATTATAAAATAATAGATTCGTTTTTTTTATCGATATTTTTTTTCTGTTATTTCATAATTTTTTTCATTTCAAAATTTGATTTTCTTGTTGTTCGTTTAATATCATGTTTTATCATTGAATAAAATTACCCAAATCTTGAAAAGGTCGCAACAATTTTTCCAATTCATTTGAAAAAAGGTATACTCATTGTATAAAGTTATAACTGTTAAAAAAAAATCACGGGTCATAACAGATAGCAAATCATTCTGCCTCTATCAAATTTTTAATTTTTTAAGCGTATTGAAAAAACTTTATTGACGAAATTTTGCCGATTTCCCGAAATTTGTTAGAACGAAAGCACGGTAATTTTGACCGTAATTCGTATTCCTATTAAATGAACGTACAATTTTTGACTGAACTGATGAGATTGATCCCGGGTAATATTTTTTTTTTTTTTTTCAGATTAAACGAAATACTCCGATTTTTAAAAAATATAAAGGAATTTTCGGCTAATTTAGCTAATTTCATTGAAAATTAATGATAATTTAAATTTTTCAACAAATAAATAAAACAATTAATTAAAAGAGAAAAATCTTTTCCATTTTAGAGTACAACACAAAAAACTCCTGCCTCTTGAATTTAATTTCAAAGTTGTTTGAAGTGTTTTGAGGTTAATATAAATAATCGTACCGTAACAGTAAGGCCTCATCTTTTTTAGAAAGTAAATAAATGATCTCGACAAATTTGTGATCAAAATAAACAATTTAACACATAAAGTATTTAATGAATTCTTTTTTTTAGAATGAATTAATATAATTCCGAAATGAAAAAAAAAGAAAAGTATTTGATGATTCTTGTGACGATATATTTTCACTTTCAATCTGTTCTTCACTTTTAATAAAGGACAATAAAAAAAATCCTTGTTAAAGGATTCCTCCGAAAAAAAAAAAAATTTCTCATAAACTTTACTGGATGAGCAAAATGAAATTTTCAGCCACCATTTTTTGATTCTTGCAATTGCTTTCTCAGGTATTATGTACATTATGTTACAAAAGTCTTTGGACATTTGATCGTCTGAATAAAATTAGTATAGCGGAATCAATTTGTACACAAACCACACGTGATTTTGCGAGATGATATATAAACATCAAGATGATCTTTTTTTTATTTTTTGTCGTCGAATTAATTTTTTTTTTCTAACGATAGGTGGCCAAAATATAACTACGTCACATAATTCACACGCTAAAGTTATAAAACATTTTTGGGATAAAGGAATTATAAGTGCAAGTGTAATTCAAAAAAACAAACATTTCAAGGTCTACGAATTATTATAATATCAATAAACTTAAAAAAACCAGAAGTATAATTCATAAAAAATGCAAAGGACGCCCAAAAAAAATTACACCAGAATATTCCAAAGCAATTGCACAATATATAAGGAGGAATCCTTTTATTTCTTCCTGAACTTTAGTAAATAAATTGTTTAAAAAAGGCGTAAATTTGTCTTATGTAACAATTTTACGACATTTAGAAAGACTTGGTTATAACAAAAATTACCAATTCCAACACCAATGTTAACTGTGTTACACAAGCAAAAACGAGTAGATTGGGCACGAAAGCATCTTAATGACAACTGGGAAAGTACTTTATTTTAGATAAAATGGCATTTCAATTATTTAGAAATACTATTAAACATTGGTACGTCCAGTCCATTGTATGCCAAAAGATCGGTTAAAAATCTTTGCTTGGAGAGGTTTTTGTATACAGGAAATAATAAGCTTTTTTTGCTTTAGAGGAATTATGAATGGTCAATTTTACGTTAATATTTTAAAAAAAACAATTACCTGAAATTATAAGAATATTAAATAATGATTGGAGATTTCAACAGGATAATGATCCGAAGCATATAAGCCTTATTGTTAAAGACTTTTTGAATAGAAAGTTTCCTGAAATAATCGACTAGCCATCTAATAATCCAGATCTCAATCCTATAGAAAACTTGTGGAGTATTGTAAAGGAAATGTAGAAAAATGACAACCAAAAAATTTAGCAGAATTAGAACAGTTTATAGTGGAGGAATGGAATAATATTCCAAACTGTGATTTTATGAGAGAATGATGTGAACTTATAATAAAAAAATGGAGAAAGAATTCCAATTCCTTATTAATTTTTTTAAAATATAATTTTGTACTTTTAATCAATTAAATAAACTTGATTTGGATAATCCGTTGCTGCTTAATAAGTAAATCAATTTGTCCAAAAACTTTTGTAATACACTGTATATGATTAATAACACTCAATTTGCAGATTTTATCATCTCAAGAATTGTACGAAAAAATATGGATGGTAATGTTAAAAATCTAAATCTCTTTATTTTTTTTTAAACTTTTTTTTTTTTTTTAAAAAAAAAAACAAAAAAAAAATGTTCATATCGAAAATCAATTTTTTGGTTATTATTTGATAACCACTGTCGAAATTTTCAGTATCAGCGCCAACAAAATCATTGATATCATCATTAAACAGGAATATGTTATTGTTATTATTACTTTAGAATTTCAAATTTTACCCTAAATATACAATCATCCGACTGTCTTTCTTTACTTGATTGATAGCCAATAATGACATCAAATATTATCTTATCGCCTCTCTTCATTATAAGTATTATCATTTAGTAAAAAATTTTTTTATTAGTTCACTCTGCTGATCATGGTCATGTGAACAAAACTAGCTTAATAACTAAAATTACTCAAAATTTATAGATTTCCCCCTTTTCTATTGACCGCTCCCCATTTTTTTCTCATTAAATTTGCATAATAAAAGAGGAAAATATTTTTTAAGCTCTCTCAAACTAATCATTGTTTAAAGAATAATGATTCCTTTTTTATTTAAAAAATTTTCTTACATTTTGATTGATAAGCACTTTAATAGCGATGATCTATCCGTTTTTATTTTACATTAATCATAATGTATAGTAAGTAAATTCTTCTCACATTTTGATTGACATGATATGCATAAAAATATGAGATGATTTCATATTTAAAAATTCCTATGACTTGTCTATTATCATGTGGAAAAAGATTCTTCATTGTTTAAAAAGTAATGATTCCTTTTTTATTTAAATTTTTTTCATTTTTCATTTTAGGAGACTGATATGCAATAGTTAATTAGTCGATCTAATTAATGATAACTTTAAAATTTAAATTTCTTAGGAAGATATTAAAGGAATCTTTTTTAAAAAAAAAGAATACAATGATGCATTATTTTATTCAGAATTTGTCAAGATGTATACCATTTGATATATTATAAGAAATTTGAAAAAATAATAAAGAATTTTTAAAAAAGGCAATGATGCATTTATTCATTATTACATACATCTTTTTCTCGTCAGCAATACATTTAGTTTCTATTTAAATAACATTATATTATAAATTCTCTTGCAGATCTTGGGATGTTGGATTGGTCCAGTCCAGTCTGGTTAGGTCCAAAAAGACCAGTCTTTCATATTTTTTTAGACCGGACCGGTCTATAAGTCAGTCTTAGGACTGGTCTTGTACCATTCAGTCCTACCAGTCCAGTCCGGTCCAAGATTTGATTTTTTCTCGAATCTGACCGATTTATAAGACTGGTTCAAGGATTGGTTTAGAATATACTAGAAAAATATAAATGATCAATTTAATAAAATAATTGTATAAATTAAATAAAAAAGTATAATA